AGTAGTTGATCAGATCAACTCCATACGCAGGCTAAACGGACTATGAATTTGAAATTCATGCCAAGAAGTCAGGATTGTCATCTTCGACTTATCAGAGACTCAAGTCCATTTACTGACATCCTTTGTCCTAAGTCAAGGTTATTACCCTCAGTTGAAGTTTGGATTGTTACCCTCAGTAAGATATGAGCTGTAACACAAAGATCATTTGAAGATTGTTTACACGTACAAGATGCGATGGAAATATTGCTTCCTAGGGGGATGCCTCCTCCTAGTAAAAGACTTGTTGCTACTTGACATAGACCTATCTACCAAGGGGTTCCTCTTTTGAGGCATTTTCTCCCCAGTGAAGCATCTTGATTTCTCTGCGGAAGAAGAATGTTCTTTCTCCCTGGAAATATAGAATTTGTTTAAAGTCTGGTTGACCCCTTTTTCATTAGACTGCAATTTATTTTTGCAGCATCTCCTCTAAAGTCCATTTTTTTAGTGGCATTCCTCCTCGGAGTCGGCATGTTGAAGTGGCAATCTTGCATCATGGTTTTTACCCGGTAATTGATAATTAAAATTATCTATTCTTCGGTAAGGTTTTCCATTCCAAACAGGGGCACGTCACCCCAATTTCTGTTTTGCAAGTACTGTTGGTCTTACATGACAAAATGCATACCAGCAAATGAATCAAGAAGGGTCTGTATGTGACTAACGTGAGGATGTTCGTATAATGAGATCCAATTTCCCCAGTGGAACTATTCTTCTTTCCCTAATGGAGCAAGTGTCCTTTCTCTCTGGTGAGGTGTACATGAAGAATTCCAGTCATAACTCTTTCGTTACCAGTGGTAGAAGATTTGGTTGGGATATCCTCTATAGAGTTATTAGCCCTGAATGTTCACTTCTTCCCCAAGTGAGGATCTCTTACCTCCCAACAATGTTATCCCCGGTGCGGTCTGAGTAGATTTCTTTTTATTTAAGAATTTATATACTCCCCAACGGAAGTTATCTTCGTCAAGAATTTCTATGCCAGAAATTTCTGTTCCTAATAAAGCTTTCCTCTTTCCAACAGAGGATAAGAAATTCATTCCCCGTGAAGTAGGGAGTTTGATCATAATTCAAGTTTTTCTCTGAACTACAATTTCATTTTTGTAGTATTCTTCCCAGGAAGTTATTTCCCTAGTGATATCGATATTTAGGGGTTGACAGTTCTGAATCTCAGTTCCCCATTGAAGTACAGATTGCCTTTTCTCTGTGGAAGATCAGATATTCCAGAACAATCGTTCGAAAGTTCACTGACTTCTCAGCAGTTGATTATTGATAGGTTTTCATAATGCATTACTAAACTTGCATCATTACATTGCATCTACTAAAACGCATAGCATTTCTATTGTATGGAGCATTATGCTAAAAAAAATTTCAAATATGCATGAGCATAAGCCATTTGTGCCCACCTGTGGCAACCAGATTGTTATGCGCTCAGATTTGATTTACCTCCACAAGAAGCTTAGGGTAATTCTATTATGTTTCCCCAGCAAAGTTTGTTCTGATTCACCACCAGTCGGGTCTTGGGTATTTCTCCATTTTCCCAGTAACTTTGTGATTTGCACTTTCCTTTGTAAGCCTTTGGTTATTTTACCCGTGTTTGCTTTGCCGTTAGAGTATGAGTAAGAGTCGGTGCATAACCTTTCTTGCTTCTCAAGTGTTTGAGTATCCATACTTGGTGTGTGGTAATTCTGACAATTGCCACTCTTGAAGAATTAACACCCCGCCTCTGGCCTGAGGGATTTTTAGTTCTTGCGTATTTGTAACCTATCAAAAGCCCAGTGTGTTTTGGCAATCTTTGTTAGAGTCTGCTTTGACCAATCTCTTTCTCTTGTAAAGTTCACCTTCGGTCGATGCTCTTTAAAGGTCCTGCTTAGTCGGTTCCTTGTATTGGTTTATCCGCGTTAGTCAGGTCCTCCTTTCGTTAGCCTAGCTAACTTTTTTATGATTAAGAGTCTTTCAATGTCTCTTCAAAGTCCAGTTGTCTGGCGCCCTTGTTTAGACGAATGCGTCCTTTTTTATTGGGGCTTTCTTCGGTTAGTCTCGTTCCTGTGTTCGCTAGAAATTCTAAACATTTGTTTCTTGATGATCAACTTCTCTCTTGTGTATCTAACTCTGACCAGATATACATACCTTTATCATTTGTTGAGAGTCCCCTTCGGCTGGTCTCTTTACAGTTGTAAGTTCGCCTTCGACCGACGTTCTTTTCTTAGGAATCTACCTTCGGCATAGTATTCCTTGATGAAGATTCCCCTTCGGCTGGTTTCTTTATCCTAAAGTCCACCTTCGGCTGGCATCCTTTAAAATCCACCTTCGGCTGGTATCATTTGTTGAGAGTCCCCTTCGGCTGGTCTCTTTACAGTTGTAAGTTCGCCTTCGATCGGCGTTCTTTTCTTAGGAATCTACCTTCGGCATAGTATTCCTGGTTGAAGATTCCCCTTCGACTGGTTTCTTTATCCTAAAGTCCACCTTCGGCTGGCACCCTTTAAAGTCCACCTTCGGCTGGCATCCTTTAAAATCCACCCTCGGCTGGTACCATTTGTTGAGAGTCCCCTTCGGCTGGTCTCTTTGCAGTTGTAAGTCCTCCTTCGACCGGCGTTCTTTTCTTAGGAATCTACCTTCGGCATAGTATTCCTGGATGAAGATTTCCCCTTTGGCTGGTTTCTTTATCCTAAAATCCCGCTTCGGCTGGTATCTTTCAAAATCCCGCTTCGGCTGGTATCTTTCAAAATCACGCTTCGGCTGGTATCTTTCTAAAAAACCCGCTTTGGCTGGTATCATTTGTTAAAATCCATCGTCGACTGGTATCATTTGTCAGGAGTCCCATTTGTTTGGTCTCTTCCCTCAGTAAATTCACCTTTGATTAGTGTTTTCTTTGTAAGAGCTTTCTTCGGTCTGTCTATTTCTTACGTATCCGATACCGACCACGGATATGTATTTTTGATACTTGCTTTATATGTCTGCTACCAACCCCAGACATATGTTCTTGTATCTTTGATGTCTTCTGTGCGTATCCGATACCGACCACGGATATTGTATCTTTGATATCTCTTCCTTACGTATCCGATACCGACCACGGATATGTATTCTTGATATCTCTTTCTTACGTATCCGATACCGACCACGGATATGTATTTTTGATACTTGTTTTATATGTTTGCTACCAACCCCAGACATATATTCTTGTATCTTTGATATCTCTTCCTTACGTATCCGATACTGACCACGGATATGTATTCTTGATATCTCTTTCTTACGTATCCGATACTGACCACGGATATGTATTTTTGATACTTGCTTTATATGTCAGCTACCAACCCCAGACATATGTTCTTGTATCTTTGATGTCTTCTGTGCGTATCTGATACCGACCACGGATATTGTATCTTTGATATCTCTTCCTTACATATCCGATACCGACCACGGATATGTATTCTTGATATCTCTTTCTTACGTATCCGATACCGACCACGGATATGTATTTTTGATACTTGTTTTATATGTTTGCTACCAACCCCAGACATATATTCTTGTATCTTTTATATCTCTTCCTTACATATCCGATACTGACCACGGATATGTATTCTTGATATCTCTTTCTTACATATCCGATACCGACCACGGATATGTATTTTTGATACTTGTTTTATATGTTTGCTACCAACCCCAGACATATATTCTTGTATCTTTGATGTCTCTGTCATACGTATCTGATACCGACCACTGATATGTATTTTTGATACTTGTTTTATATGTCTGCTACCAACCCTAGACATATATTCTTGTATCTTTGATGTCTTCTGTGCGTATCCGATACCGACCACGGATATGTATTTTTGATACTTGCTTTATATGTCTGCTACCAACCCCAGACATATGTTCTTGTATCTTTGATGTCTTCTGTGCGTATCCGATACCGATCACGGATATGTATTTTTGATACCTGTTTTATATGTCTGCTACCAACCCCAGACATATGTTCTTGCATCTTTGATGTCTCTGTCGTATGTATCTGATACCGACCACGGATATGTATCTCTTCTATATCTTTTGTGCGTATCCGATACCGACCACGGATATGTATCTTTGATGTCTCTTTTATGCGTATCCGATACCGACCACGGATATGTATCTTTGATGTCTCTTTTGTGCGTATCCGAGACCGACCACGGATATGTATCTTTGATGTCTCTTTTGTGCGTATCCGATATCGACCACGGATATGTATCTTTGATATCTCTTTTGTGCGTATCCGATACCGACCACAGATATGTATCTTTTCTATCTCTTTCTTGCGTATCCGATACCGACCACGGATATGTATCTTTTCCATTAATCATGCTTTATTTCTAGTAATTATACTATTCTTTACAATGATGTTCCTGACTATGCTCGCATTAAAATCTTTGGATGTTTGGTTAATGTTTGTAGTTAAAATGTTAATAGGACAAAATTAGACTCTAGGTCTCGTACATGTGTTTTTCTAGGTTTCAAAATTGGCGTGTGTTGCACCCCAAAATTTTCCCTCCTAATTTCTTTTATTTTGGCTTAGACTTTTGCATTCATCTGCATCTATTTCATTAGGTCACTAACATGACATACATTTCATTCAATATAGCTCTGAGGATTCAAAGTCCAGTGGTTGTGCGATACTAGGGTTTCCCAGTGGTTAAGGTGCTTGTATCCAATAAGGGATGATTTCTTATTCAGGCAGCAAGCTGTGGAATTAGGGTTTTGGTTCATTCTCATTTTTGAATTTCTTCTCCATCAAGCTACAAGGCTATTATCTTCTGCTGAACAATAGGTTGCAGGGTATTCCTGTCAATAATGTAATGTTGTGATCTCGCTTACATGATTCAAAACACCTCATTCTATCATTGTGCTTATCATTTGGTCAAGGTTTTGTCAATACTAGAGGGGTATTAAGATTTCTCTAAAGGATCAAGATATGTTATCAATCCAGGATGCATATGATGCTTGCATTACAGGTTGTTGACTATGTCATTGTTGCATTAAGTTCATCTATCCTTAAGTTAATCAATCAGGATTGGGGACGTCATGATTCAAGATATTTTGTATGGTAAATTTGGTTGCTTGACAGTCAAGGCATTACGAATAATTGGTACAAGCTATTGTTTAGATATTTATACAAGAACTTTGGTTTCAAACATGGATTAAGGTTCAACTTGATAAAAAAAAGGAAATAGCATGCCCGAAGGTTTATTTCATAAATTCTTGCGGAGGAAGATGGAACATGAATATAAGTTGAGATTAAAGTACAATGTATCAAGTAAATCTCTTCATGATTCAAGTTGTTATTTTCAAGATTATCCCACATTATTGTTCATCCCAAGGTAAAATATAAAAAGATTCATTTAAATAACATTCAAGTGTTTATCATGTTTGTCTCAAGTTCATTCAAGTATCCATTCAAGCTCAAACTGAATGAGAGAAATGTTTTGAATAATTGGAAATTTGTCATGCAAGAAGTTATAATGTTTTGTTCATTACAAATTCAAGTCATTACACCGAAGTTACAAAAGACATCTCAGTCATCAAAGTTTCGCATTCCAAGTACAAATCATCATCATTTTTACAAATATGTCATCATTCAAGGTTAAAAGTCAAGGGTCTCCATTCATGCGAGTTTGAGGTGCGAGGTGTTTAAAATTGGAAGTTCAAACATCGAAATTTGAGTTTTAAGATCCAAAGCATGGTGTACAAGTTTGTTTGAACCAAAGCTCTTATAGGAATATGGCATACAAGGGAAATTTTGATTCAAGTTCTTGTGAAAACACATAAGACACTCATCATGGAGTACCATGGATTAAATTTGAGGTCGGATGGATAGAATCCTTAATTTGACTAAAAAGTGATCAAGGCCTCCATTTACCGAGAGCTAAGAAATTTAAAGAATGTTTAGAAGTGTCATAATTCAAGAGGATTCATCTTGCAAAAAACTCATAAATAATAGACATGGAATGTTGAATTGTAGCAAGTTTCAGCATATTCAAGTTCTACCAGTTACATCTCATTCAAGCCTCTTCTTTGACTACATAATTCTCAAAACATACAAAAGGCCACAAATTTACAAAAGAAATCAAATTTCTATTACAAGTCGGAACTATTCCCATCCATGGTCATTCAAATTATTCAAAATCACTCAAGTTCAATCATTCGAGCGTCTTTCATTCACTCATATTACAGTATATGTCATTTCGAGATTACAAAACAGAGTTACAAAGGTCCAAATAAACTTTTACAAAAAAAAGAAAAAAGGGAAAAACATGGGAGAAACTTCAACTTGCTGCAAGGGTTATTGTTGCAATTGAGAATCCTCAGGATATTATTGTTCAATCTTCTAGACCTTATGGACAGAGAGCTGTTCTCAAATTTGCTCAGTATACTGGTGCTCATGCTATCGCTGGAAGACACATTCCTGGAATTTTTACTAATCAGCTTCAAACTTCATTCAGCGAGCCGCGTCTTCTCATCCTCACTGACCCAAGAACTGATCACCAGCCAATTAAAGAAGCAACTCTTGGGAATATTCCCACAATTGCTTTCTGTGACACTGATTCTCCTATGCGATATGTTGACATTGGAATTCCTGCCAACAACAAAGAGATAGGTAATTGAAGAAAGGAATCCTAACATAAGAGTGAGAAGGTTAACACCTTTGCCTTCATCTCAAGCCTCTTTTGGCGCCATTTGCATTAAGGAATCTCGAATCTTCAATCTACTAAGGTATTGATCCGACTTCTATGGCAGAACAAAGCTCATTCTCATGAGGAAACTCCTAGCCCGTCCACAGTTCAGCCCTGCATAGAAAGATTAAAAGGCAAAAATCAATAAACAATTAACAGTTCAGTTCTAAGAAATTGTAACAAAGCAAGCATTGCTGTTCATTATATTGCTTCAGTACGTTCCTAGATTTCTTCGAATGGTACCATTAACCTTAGAACTTAAGAGAACAGCTGGTGTCTTTGCTGAAACTGCATGGGCAGTGATAATGAGTGCAATAAAAGATGAAGCTCTGAGAGCCAAAGAAATTGCTGAGAATAGATTGCAGACTGGTGATTTTGCAGTGGCACTGAAGTTTGCTATGAAAGATCAGCGACTGTTTCCTGATACCCAGAACATTACTCAGATCATTACTATTTATGAGGTTCACTATGCTTCTCAGAACAAACTCTCTACATCTGATATGAACTGGTATGGAATTCTTCTAACTGATAAATTTTCTAAAGAAGCAATGATAAAGAGACAGTATAGAAAACTTGCACCGCTACTTCATCCTGATAAAAATAAATCTGCTGGAGCAGAGGCCGCTTTCAAGTTGATTGTGGAAGCTAACAGAATATTGAGTGACCCAACAAAGCGTTCTTTATATCACATGAAGATTAGCCGCCTTGCTGGAATTAAAGCACCTCAGGATCCATCCTATCACCATAATCTTCACACTTCTTCAACACAAATCCCGCTGGCCACTTGGAACTCAACCTGTAAAATCGCATAAAAACAATCCACAATCAGAACCAAAACTAACGAGCCAATAACATAACCTTCAGCTTAGCAAACTAACCAATTCTTAACTGCATCCTAGCAAACTCTTAACAAACTGCCAAAACAGAAATTCATCATTCCAAAACAACCAATCCATAACTAACCTTTTCCTAACTATTTTTAACTAACTTCTAACGACTTTCAAACGGACAACTAACTCCTAACAAACCTAACCATCTAACTAACTCTAAAACCAAAAATAGAATTTTATGAAAGCTCCCTCCAACTCTCTCATCATATATACATAATCAGGTTCATTATTTAGAGGACACACAGAAAATTTCTCAAGAAAATTCAGAAAAAGTTAGAGAAAAATTTACCTCTTTCATGATTCATTCTGCAGCATTCTGGAAAATCACCCAGAAATTTCTTCTCTCTTTCTTTGCAATAACCGCATCAACTTCAATCATCATCAACCTCGGCAATTGAATCACTGTGATCGGTGGATCTGGAACTGACTATTTAACGCTGGTTCGCGAAATGTCGCGGAAGCAAGAGTCGCCACCGTCTTTTATTTTCTCCAAATGGAAAGGACAAAAGCACAGAAAAATTCCTTAAAGAGATTGCTCTCGGTTCGGGAGGTAGATTATAGAAAGGGAAGGTGTTAGCACCCTTTCTATCCATGGTTATCCATGGGCTCTTAGATACTTGCTCACTTGTGTTTTCAAAAATGGTTTGTTTGCTTTTCAACTGTGGGTTTTAAAAAGTTTCTTTGAAAATTTCAGTTCGACTCTTGTATCAGTCCTCAAGAGTGTTTGAAAATTTGCTTTCGAAAGCTTTTTGAAAATGTGTTGGTGTGAAAAGTATTTTGAATTTTTGTTTGAAATTTAGAGCAAGTATCTACGAGAACCTACCTACCCTAAGGAATTCGTCTGTGTAAATGTCCTTTAAAGTAGTGCCATCCCACCATTGAGAGGTAGGTAGCACCACCGTTGGAGGTGTTCGGGTCAATTCGAGGGTTCGGGGCGTGGTGATCACCGGAGCAATAGGAAGACACCTTAGAAGCTACCCTCATGCCAGGTTCCCGGATCATGAGGACTTACTAAGACATCCTCTACTCGACGATCACCTTTCGAGAGGCAAGGCAACAATGAGGCGTACCCTAGGGGTGGTGTGTGCGATTCGTGTGTCGTTTTCATTTGCATTTATCTTGTCATGTTATTGGTTTTCTACGCTTGATTTTATTTTTAAGGCCATTCATTCTTGCATGCTTTGTTTAACAGTTAAAGGTTGCGAAAAGTAAATCTAAAGCTATTACAAATGGCGCGGGTCCACATCGCCAAAATTAAACCGGACCCGATTTGACGGAAAGTAAATAAAGCAAAGTAAAGGAATTAAAAGATGCGAGAAATAATTACAAGGCTTTGGGAGAGATACATAATTATTTGAGCGAAATAAAAATAAATACGCGAAATTAAACAATTAAAAATATGGGCGTTGGACCCTTTTGCAAAATATTAAATTACATGAATTAATTAATTTAAGAAAAGAACTTGTTTTTGATTTTTTGATATTTTTATGTTTTTTAGATTTAATAGAAAAAGAATTAATTGAAATTAAAATTGAATGCAAACCCTAATCCTAATTATTTTTTAAGTTATTAAGAAAAATATTGAATTTTAACCTAATTTAAACCTAAGTTAATTTACATGCCAATTTGATTATAAAAATAAAATAAATATTATTATGAGAAAGAAAAATTAAAAGAATAAAAATTAACTAAACCTAATTCTATTTTTTTTGTATTTTTGTTATTAAAAGAAATTAAAATCACAACCTAATTAAACCAAATAATTACATATTAATTTATTTATGAAAATATTAGAATAAAATAATTTATTACGTTTTTTATCTTTTCTGAATTTTTATGTATTTTTTGTATTTTGTAAAAAATAATTAAAGTGAAACAACAAATAAAATAATATAATTGAAAAAAATAAAATATAAGAAAAAGATAGAAAATTGCAAACCAGGGGGGGGGGGGTTCAGGCCCCAATTGTGAGGTATGGACTCAGCAATCTGGCCCAATAGCATTGGCTTCGTTGGACTTTTCAGAATCACGTGTGATGCGTTGACTTGCGTTTATGGTGTTCATCAATCTGGGGCCTTTGATCTGAAGCAGCTAGACGCGTGGTTGGCTTGATGGTGATGGAATATGGTGTGCCTTAACGCTAGCGCTACATGAGAATTCACATGGAAAAATAACATTGGAAATTATACAGACCTGGGACTCGAACCCAGGTCTTGGACATTGCAAAGGTGTACGTCTACCACTGAACCATCATCACGCATTTGTTAAACAAATAAACAATAAATATAATGAAAGAAAACAACACGTGAATAGGTTAAAACGCGCGAAATTCAAACCCACGTATCACACACTGCCACGAGTCCATCTTCTTCCTTTTCTCTGAAACATAAACATGAGGCAACAGTTTTTTGGACGTTCTCTTAGGCATGCTACCAAAAAATAGCGATTAGGCCTATGTAACTCATAAATTAATCGCGACTATGGATTCTACTTCGTCCAATCGTGCTCGTTCTCATGGTCTATGTCTCAGCCTCCAATTTTGCCCTATTGGAGAAACCCCAATTTCAAGCTTTGTAAACCCTAAAACGTAATCATGGCATAATCGTGTGTATAGCATAAAAATACAATTAAACGCATTGGTTAGTATCAGAACATCATAAGGAATACAAATCCATGATTAGAATGCCATGAGAATGCCTAAAATTAAAAATACGATTGTGACTTTTTCTCTGTACAGGAGAGGTTCTCGTTACCAATTCTTGAAGTTTGAGTTGATGTTTTGGATTGGAATGTGATCAGGGACCTTCAAGGAAGCTATTGGAATGAAAATTAGGGCTTGAATCGTCCTCTAACAACGTTTTCAGAATTGAGTTTTATGGAGAAAATTTCAAGTTTGTAATGTGTTCTTTAGCGCAGCTTAGTGTGTATGTGCATTAGGTTTCTCATCAAGCATATGTAGTGAACAAATTAGGTCAACAAAACTCAATAAAATCCAATGCAATAATGGTTTTTGGAAATTTGATTTTAAGGATCTTTTTCATATCTTTTTTCAAGTGTTCTTGGTTCAAAATCATGCCAATCAATCTAATTCTTTCCTAATTAGCCTATGCACGAAATCTTGATGGCAAAACATGCATGAAAAGATTTTTTAGGTCAAGTTATATATTTTCCACATATTTAAATGATTTAAATGAATTAATATAAATAATAATTCAAATAAATAAATAAAAAATGAGAAAATACTTCCCTTTGGGCCAAGTGGTCGTGCATATGCTTAGAATGATGAATCATGGAAGAAAAATGGGCCCATTAGCATTTTTAGGTCATTTGAAGCAATGTTGACTTTTCAAAATATCCAAAAATTTCCCAACTTCTACAAGGCATAACTTGCTCAATTTTTAAGCTTTTCTCATGTTCTTGGACATTTTGGAAAGTTCTTTGAGTCCTTTAACCAATGCCTTTGGTCCCATGTCATTTTGATTTACCAATCTCAAGTTATGGCCTTTGACTTAAAGTCCCTTTTTGTTGACTTTTGAAAATGACCTATAATGTTGAAATTGATAACTTTTTGTGAGAGCATTTCTTGGACTTGAAGTATGAAGATGAGTTGTAGGAAATGTCTTTCTCTTCAAAATGAGCTTTGGATGGGATTTTTCTGATAATCCATGTGAAAGTTATGCCCTGGTCAATTTCAGTTGACTTTTTCAGCTGTCCAAATAAGGAAACTTTTGCATCTTTGATGATTTCTGAGCCAAATTTTGAGAATCATGATCAAGCATTGATCAAATGATGTTTGTGGCTTCAAAATGATATGTTGACCAAAAATTTGAACTTTTGACTGTCAAATGACCATTTTGCCCCTGCAGTTGACTGTAGTGCAATTTAGGGATTTGACTGTGCAATTTTGAGCTGAATGCCTTGAAACTTGATATGAGGATACTTGACCATATTTGTAGGCATATGAGACTTGATTGGGCCTTTGGAAACTTCATTTTCTTGATCAGACCACAAACCCTAGTTTTGACTGTATAGGAGACCTTTGCACTGTGCAACCCTTGGGGAATTTTGCAGCTTGACTTGGCAATTTCTTGAAGAATATGGGAGGGAAAATTTTGGGGTACAACAGTTGCCCCTGTTCAATCTTCTTAGACCTGAGGATGCAGATTGGCTGACGTGCCTTTCGTAATCCGAGGGTAGAAGATGATTGGACACCAGAGTGCCCAGAAATTTGCGCTCGCATAGTGGCAGTGATGATGGGAATGGGCTTATAGATGCCATTTGGAGATTGCTGGATAGAATGATGGGCTTATAGATACCATCTGGATGTTGATCGCGTAAGAGATTCCTTGGCGAGAACCCGCGTACCTGCAAAAGAAAAAATGAGTACCTGACACGTCGCAGGAGTTGGTTTTCAGATGCTTGGTATAGATATGTCCTGACTGGTTACAGGAGCTGAATCTGGAGCTTCAAACGGTGATGAATGAACCAGGGATGGCTACTGCCTTAGCATGAACAACAAGAGAATCTTGGGCGACTTTAACTTCAACAACGCTCGTTGAAAAAAATCTTGAGTGACTTTAACTTCAACAACGCTCGTTGAGAAAAATCTTGAGTGACTTTAACTTCAACCACGCTCGTTGAGAAAAATCTTGGGTGTCTTCTACTGGGATAAGCATCAGGGAGATCTTAGGGTCGATCTGACTGAACCAGAGAAAGCCTTTGACTGGATAAGCATCAGGAAAATCTTAGGGTCGATTTAACTGAACCGGACAAGGTCTTGAAATATCTTCAACTGGATAAGCATCAGGGAGATCTTAGGGTCGATCTGACTGAACCAGAGAAGGCCTTTGACTGGATAAGCATCAGGAAAATCTTGGGGTCGATTTAACTGAACCGGACAAGGTCTTGAAATATCTTCAACT